TAACTTAGCGAGGTACGAAGAACGGGCCCCTGTTGGCGTCCTGTTATGGTGTAAATGTAAACAAAGGTCTGTGGTGAGGGGAGGCGGGGCTGTTGTCTGACGCCGCCTTCTCAATTCAATCTTGATAAAGGTTCATTTGAATGTGACATTTGACCCCCCCCCCCTTTCTCCCTCACAGATGGTGTCAAAGCTGGACAGCCCCCCAGCCATTCCACCTCGTCAGCCCACCTGTAAGCTCCACCCCTCTCGTTACTCGTCACTGTCATCATCACCACCTGACAGCCCCCCCTCCCTGCCTCCACGAGAGCCCCTCAGCTCCCCTCTACACCTCCTGCCCCCCCCTCAGGGTCGTCCCCGCTGTGACCTCCTGCCTCAGGCTTTCTTCCCCCCCAACATCTCTGGCCCAACTTCCATTTGCTCCACCCCCACCACATTGTCCTCCTCACCCCCTCTCCCTGCTCCTGTCACCCCCACCTCCAGGAAATTACCCCTGCCTTCTCCACCCCTCCCCCCACTCCCTCCCCTCACCTTGGATGGCCCCCCTGTGCCTCCACGTCACAGTGTTCCCAAACTCCCCCCAAAGACATACAAGAGGGATTCTGTTGGACACGCCCCCATGCTGGACACGCCCTCTGTGCGATTGGACAGCCTGGAGTTCCAGAGGGTTCAGGGACAGCTGATTGGACAGGCTGTGGAGGAGACTGAGTTAACACTACAGCTGATTGGATCAGAAGAAAGTAAAAATGTGTGATGGACCAATCAGGAAGCTCTGACTGCTTCGAACTGAGACTGACTGTAAAACAAAAATGTGCTCTTATTCTGAACATCTCTGAGCTCAGACCTCAGAGGGACGAGACCCTCAGGTACTGGCCTGGAGCCACACAGGTACTGCAGTGGTTCAGGTGGACCTGATGAAGAAGATGGTGGTGATGTCATTATTAGTGATGTAAACAAAAACAAGGGAATAAACATTTCTTTCACTGAGCTCGAAGAAACCTGGAGTTCATCGGTCTTTATTTTACCTGCTGAACTGAACTGTGGCTGGTTTTTGTAGGTGGGCTCCTCCACATCTACTGCCCCTGCAGCAGCGGGTGGTCTTTAAGTCTGACATCATTATTCGTGTCTGGGTTCAAACTCTGCTTCAGGTCCAAACGATCACTGCAGCATCACTGAGAGTTAAAAACTGTAAATTATTTCATCTTTAATAAAATGATCAGCGTTGCTGCTTTACCAGGTGTAACAATGAAGTTTAACATCCAGGCATCCATGAAAACAGGATTTATTAAATTTAATGGAGTTAGAAGTTAGCAGGAAGTTATCTTGCCAGTTTCCATCTAAACAGGTTATAGCATGTTCTGGCTGAGAGATTTATGAACAAATTCAAACGTACAGCTCTGCTATCACTTCCAACATAAATGAAGACAGAAAACTAAACAGCAGTGACGTTTGTAGGGTTACTGAAGTTGGGCTGGCTGGTATATAATGATGTGCTACCTGATCGCTAGCGACACAGCTATGTTAGCATAAACACAGTGAAGCTGGAGGATGAACGCTAACTTTTTTCCGCTTGATAAAAATTAACGTGAGGGTTCCTGATGGTTAGAGACAAAAGCAGTCGCATGGCAGGATGCTGTAAACGGACCAAACTTCAGTCAGGAGAACAACTGAGATAATCCATCCACAATACGAGGTTAGTCATTATACTGCTGCATGGGCTGGGCTGTAGATAGGGTTTAAAAACTGAGCTTTAAAATGAACAATGGTAATAAAAACCGAGAGAGGACGATAGTGATCACTGACTGTTTTTAGGGGTTTGTTCAGATTAAACTGAACTATATACAAAGCACTAAAACATGTTAAAAACACAACAGACTTAATAAATGCAGAGTAGTTTGGGCCGGGAGCAGGATTCATCATGTCATCACTTAAAGAGCAGATAAGGTGGCGCTGGGCTGGTTTCAATTAACTTTATTGACATTGAACACACACAAAGCCACAGGATACAAGTGTTTCTCTGCTCTGCATTCAACAAACAAAACCAAGCAGAGCATATTGAAATAAATGCGTGGAGGGATTGGTGTCTTGTTACCATAGATACAATAATTACCTTACAGTTTATTTACAGTGATTAGATGACTCTGTAGACGTTTCATCCCCATGTTTACTGAAACTGACAAAGATCAAAGCTCGTGGTTTAAGTTTGACTCCAGTCTGAATTTGTTTTACAAAGTATGAAACGACACGAAACTTTTACAAAAACGCTCCGGGAATCAGTCTGCAGCAAGTCATTCCCACAGGCGCAGGTGTCACCATGGCAACGGGCAAATAAAGAGCAGAACTCCGTTCTCCTCAGAGGACAGACCGGAGACACCTGATACTGACGCAGGTGATTCAGGTGATGTTCAATCACATCGGCGACATCCAGGTGTCAATGATTACAGCAGATCAATAATTATCGATTACTGGAGTCTGACAAACTGAAATCCGCCCGTGCACACCCTGACCCCGGGTGACCCCAGGCGAGCCAGCACTCTGGTTTCCTGGTTCATTGTGGTTGCTGCAGGTCTCTTCTCACCTGAAATGAAATTGTGCCTGTCACAATAAAACCAGTTTATCTTTTAAAATTATGCACATATTTAAAACTCCTCCCACTCTGACGTAACTAATCATGGCGATTGGTGACTCGTCAGTCTGTGGGACAGGTGAGTTTTACAGGAAGTGAGTCACTTAGAAACTCCTTTTATTTAGATTACATCTGCAAATGACAAAAGGGCGGAGCTCAAACAACACACTAACCTGGTGATTGGCCCAGCTCAGAGTGGCAACCCCTGATTGGTACAGTCCTGGATCCCGATAAGTCTCTGGATCCGGTCCAGGATGATCTGGTTGGAGCTCCTGCAGTCGTGGGCGCTATAGGGCGCAGCGATCGTCAGGACGCCCGCCACTTTTAGCTCCTCCCCCTCCTCCTCCACGGGGATCCGGTTCTCCTGCAGCCACCGCCGCACGGCATCCCTCCGCTGACGCAGCTCCTTGGGGTCCAGGCAAGGGGACGGCGGGGGGAGGAAGACCGACCGCAGACGCTTCGCCGTCTCATCATCATCAGCCGCTCGCAGGACCTCCACCGCCTCCACGGCGTGACCCATCACCACCCGCACCGCCACCGCCTCACCAAAGGACACCAGGACCACACTGCAGGGCACAGGAAGACAAGGGTCAGAGCCACGTGACGATCAGGAGTCACACTTAAACTTAACTTAAACGAGTTAAGGTCAAAGTTCACAGGAAACGGCTGAAAAAAAACTCGACTCGTTCGTCACGATCAGCTGTTTGATTTACAAATTAGGCTCCACGTGCGCGTTACCTGGCGGACACCGGGTCCACGCTTAACAGCCAGCCGCGGTGCTCCTCGCCTTTTCCCGCTCTCACCTTCACCTCTTTGTTAAGGTAGTGAAGCCACCTGAGCGGACCCATGAGGGGCCAGCCGCACTGCATCATGGACCTCACGGTGCTGAGATCGATAGCTGAGCAATAATCGATTCACACACCCCTCCACCCCCTGCCGTCTGCTGTTCACAGCTGTTAACGCTCCTGAGGAAACACAACACGGAAACAAAAGTTCCGCTTTAAGGCGTAATCTGAGCCGCGGCTGCCCCCTGCAGGCCGAAGCGGGCACAGCAAAAACATTCAGTAGAAGAAGCGACTAGAAATAGAATAGAGACCCTTCGGCCAAAGCATAAAACATTAAAGAGAAACCAAATAAGAAGAAAAGTAATACTGTGAGCTCACAATAAAACAGCAAAAATAAAATAAATACGTTAACTGATGAAAATCCAAAACTCCTGAAATAAGTCCACAAATTTAATTTCAAATAAAATGTGACTCTTTAAAAACTCAATAAATAATGAACAAGAAGAGTGAGAAAGGCAGCACGTTTCTGTTGGTGACAGCAGATTTGCAGCGGTTCACACTTAAACTGCAACATCAGCGAACAATGGATTACACTTTTGGTTGATATTGATCAGTCACACTTTATAAATGGCTTTAATTATAAAATGTATATTTATTTTTAACCACAGACGATAAGGCAGATATTATTTTCATGTCCTTCAGCTAAACTTTTATATGGAGGTGATTCCAACACAGTGATGAATGAAAGCATGGATAGATGCCCCCATGAACAAACATCCGAGCTCGAACATATCCGTGACAGGAGATCTTTATATGTGGAGCAATGAGGACAGAAACAACAGTCCTGACAGACCATAAAGCAGTCCAGTTTAGACTGATTTGAAATTATTTGGACAAATTCAGAATAAAGACTGTTGGAAACTAAATTAATCCAAAGTTAAGCCCTGAGACTTATTAACAAGAAAAACTATTTAAGAGTTTTCATGGAAATGAAATTTGATATCAGAAATTTTTCAAAAGGAAAATGCTTCCTCTAAAGACAAACGAGAGAGAAATTAAAATAATTTCTAGAATAATAAGATCATGTGAAAAAACAATTTGTCTAAACGATAATCTCACCGTCAGTCAGATGTTAAAGCTGTTAGGAGGAAACGGTGAGAACAGCGGAAAAAATGCCCAAAATATTTCTTTAGTTAACAAAAAAGAAACTTTGAACAATGTTTTATTAGAAAACTCAGAATTATTCATTCAATATGTGAAAGTGAAAATAGTTTCCTAAATATAATTACCAAAAATCATATTTGGCTCATTCAGAAAATACAAATGGATAAATTTCTCCATAGGCAAGAAAAGAATTCCAGTAGTAGAGGAGACCGTAATGTGGGTCAGTTCTAACACTTCCAATTTCTCCAAACAGAGCTAAGTTTCAAATGATGCGATTCATTCTGTACATGCCAAATTCAGTTCTTCTATCACATGTGAAAAATTAGCACATTTTGGCAAACACGGACAATTTAAGAAGAAAAGAAGTAATTTGTTTGCGAAAAGTAAGTTTAAATTTTTTTTTTAAACTTTATGATAGCATTATCTGCTTTGCAGTTAAACTCATCAAACTGAAATTATGTTATTTGTATGTCTATGGCGATATATTCTGTGTAGGTCTTTAGTGCTAATGTTTTAGCTGTTGGCTGTAATGTTAGCTAGTTGAGATGGGATGGCCTTTATTTGTCAGTTGCAGTTGCCCACAACCGAGATGACAGACCGTGCAGACCGTACATACAATACACAAACATCACATTGGGGAGACAGGTCAGGCTAGGTAGCGAGGAAAAAAACATTGAAATATGTAACACAAAAGGATAATCCAGGAATCATCATCACACCATATCACAATAAAACACAGACAGCAACATGGGAGAGTGTTCCAGTGTGTACAGCTGATCTGGGACCGCTGCAATCTTCGATCGCACCTCCAGCTGTCCACATCGGATGGGAGGTAAACCTGGGAGGAGGTGTTGGATTCGGGGAGGGTGATAGTGAGGGCGTATCAGTATCAGTGTACATGTTTCATGCGTGTGCATTTGTGTGTGTATGTTTATCCCGTGTTCAGCTGAGAGAAAGTGTCACCACGCCCGGTTAAGCGAAGGTCTGGCGGCCTTGAAGGAGGGACAAAGAGTTCTGACAACAATCCTGTTATCATGGACGAATTTGTTGTTCCAGTCAGCTTCGACCTCAGCAGCCTTCTGCTGGCGCCAGTGGGATGGCCGCATGAGTGAAGATGGTGAATGTTTTGGGTGTAGTGCGAACAACTGCATCCAATTTATGCACAAATTATGGAGTGCATATTAAAAAAGGACAGTTTCAGGGTATCCCACCCTTAGATAGAGATGGGCACACCTGACTGATGACACTGCAATTTTCCTGTCGAATACACACGATGTGAGCAGACAGCTACTTGTGTCAGGGCTGAAAATGAGTCTGTCTTATTACCTTTCAAACATTTAAATCTGTCAGAATTAATGGTATACCTGTTGAAACAAAACTACATATTTGGGTGATTATTGAAAACAATCAAAAAGGATGTAAACTTCTCCAATTTTTGCTCCTGTAACTCCTGTGTTACTGCCGAAGACTGGACAATGTTGCTTTATGACCAGAAATGCCCAAAGAGATCTCTACAGACTTACATCAACTTTGATTTGATTAATATGGAGAAAGAAAAGCGATCGCTTCAAAAGGATATTCCACATAAGGCAAACAAAAAGATGGTCTGGAATGACCTCACGGCACAAGCATAGTCCCAACCAATGCTGGTGGTGCATCTTTTCAACAGCTCGAATCACATAATGAAGCATTGACGTCATTTCAGAGAGTTCATCTTTGGTCACATGATATTCTGGAGCCCGACACGGGCTTCTTTTGGACACGCCCATGTTCAAACGTTTCATACAAATGAGTTTTTAATCAAATAACCGTAAAACAGATGCACCACACCGATAGCCTGATATTAAACAGAAGTTGCTAATGCAGAGAGGGTGATCACAGTGAGGCGGCTCATTTCAAGCTGCTGTTCATATTTTTGGCCACCAGATGTCACCAAAGAGGACTAAAGCGCCTCGAGTAGTGAACCATCTTGGTGGAGGGACATGGTGCAGGTTCACCGAGCAACCCCCGGTCTGGACGCGCTCTGCTCAGCTTCGTTAGCACTTTTAGCGATGATGATCATTATTCTGGTGATTTGTGACACAGAACTGTTTTTTTAAATCACTGCTGCTGTTGATCTCTAAGGTGAGGCATGCACAGTAGATATTTGAGACTGAAGTTTCCTGTCCTTCAGCCTAATGGAGCAAATCACTGCAGTCATCCCAGTCCAAGCGAACGTAGTCTGAGTGATTGAACTAAAGTACGCTGAACGTGCTGCTCATAAAAACGTTCCTGCTGTGAATAAAAGTAAAGAGTAAACTCTCACACTCCGAGCGTCACCTCCTCCTGACAGCTTTACTTTTCAAGCTCACACCTGCAGACTCACTGCTGTTTATGGTTGGAGAGTAAATATAAAAACACAATTCCAACAAGTCTGACCTGAGGTCAGCAGGTACAGTGCAGGTGTGGTGTTTCAGGATCAGACATTAATGCTTGTAGAACAACAGCACTGCTGTAAAACTGCCAACAGAAAACAACCAAGAAATGAAGCCGACAGTCTGTTTATTGTTGATTATTTATCACTGATGCTCGTTGGGGAAACACAAAGACATTCAGACCCTCCTACTGTCTCCATAGCTGTGCAAGGGATCGTCCTCGGATGGTGATGCCAACTTCTACAGATTTCGTTGGATCCTGACCTGCTCTCTCTCTCTTGCGATCAGTGAGCTCATTTCCTGTCTGTTGATGTGTTTTTATGTATACAGCTGTGTCAATATTATTGATTACTGATTAATGATTGTTGCGCTTCAAGCTGCATATTACGGTGGCCCTGAAGTGCAAATCACACCAACAAATTGCTAAACACAACAACAAAATTGAGAAACAAAAAAACAAAACTGAGAATCACAAAAACAAAACTGAGAAGCACAAAAACAAAACTGAGAAGCACAAAAACAAAATTGAGAATGCACAAAAACAAAATGAGAATCAACAAAAAAAACACAAAAACAAAAGAAGAATCACAAAAACAAATTCAAGAAGCACAAAAACAAAAGAAGAATCACAAAAACAAATTAAGACAAAATAAGCCAAACAAATCACACAAAAACAAAAGAAGAATCACAAAAACAAATTAGAGAAGCACAAAAACAAAAGAAGAATCACAAAAACAAAATTAGAAGCACAAAAACAAAATGAAGAATCACAAAAACAAATTAAGAAGCACAAAAACAAAAGAAGAATCACAAAAACAAAATTGAGAAGCACAAAAACAAAACTGAGAATCACAAAACAAATAAGAAGCACAAAAACAAAAGAAGAATCACAAAAACAAATTAAGAAGCACAAAAACAAAAGAAGAATCACAAAAACAAAATGACACAAAAAATAGATCAAAATAAGAAGCACAAAAACAAAAGAATCAAATAAGAAGACAAAATAAGTCACAAAATGAGGCACAAAAAACTGAGAATACAAAAACAAAGAAAAATTAAGTCACAAAAACAAAAGAAGAACAAAAAAAATCACAAAAACAAAAGAAGAATCACAAAAACAAATCGAGAAGCACAAAAACAAAAGAAGAATCACAAAAACAAATCGAGAAGCCAAAAACAAGAAGAATACAACAAACGAGAAGCACAAAAACAAAAGAAGAATCACAAAAACAAATTGAGAAGCACAATTACATTAAGAAAACCGGAAAGGGTAGGTACCAGTCGGCAACAGGAGACATCACTGATTGGATGTCCGATCTGTTCGTCTTTGGAACCGGAAGTTACTCTGCCTGTGGCGCATTTCGTTTGAAGAAGAACGGCGGAATGTTTTGTCCTAGCTGTGGGAAAAAGCTGGTTGAGGAGTCGCCGAACTTTTGCAGCGGCTGTGGCGAGAGGCTTTATCACGCATCTTGCATCGGAGACACTTCACTCCCATTGAGTAAGTTAATAAGCATAATAAAATGTTTGTTATTTATTGATTTATTAGCCTAGCGTTAGCTGTTTCCAGACCATAGCAGACCAGAGGGCTGTTCCACTAAGCGAGCTCAGAAAATCGAGGCTCATTTGAAAATGCACGCAGCTGTCAAAATGACTGCTCAAGACCTTTCTAGTAGTGAAGGTTTGAGGGCAGTTCTGGTGTTAACAAACCTCGCAGCTAGGGTGCCACGGACCAGACTTGTCCACAAGCATATTGCATAATGAATGAGCAGAAAGACTGCACGGTTAGCCTCGTTCCTGGAACCGAATTTGGGGCAATCGAGCCTGGATTTTCAGAGTGAGCCTGGCTTTTGGGATTAGCTTGCTTCGTGGAACAGTCCTCTGAGCATTTCCACAACTGAAACGATAATAAATTAGTTCATTTATTATGTTTGGTTAACTTTAGGAACTAACCCTATTATGTGTCTATACATTAAAACTTACTGGTGTAGAATTGTATTGGTCAATAGTATCAGTTGCATTGTCATTCCTTGGTAGAAATTTTCTAGTGAGATTATTCAGTGTTGTGTGGACAATGGAATGTTACATGAATGAATGTCTTTAATGTGTGACATTGTAGTACATTTTTCCTTTGTTTCCCTTTAGCATCACAGACTACCTCAAACTGCCCGACTCCAACCTTCAGCACCTTCATAGAATACAGAAAAAAGAAAAATGAAGAGAGGCAAAAGTTTTCTGAAGGGAGGAAGGGCTTAAAGAAAAAGGAAAAAAGAAAGGTTCAGGTAGTTTGGCTAGCTCAGTCTGAAAACAAGTTGAGGTTAATTTTCTAATGACATTCTTTTGTTATTCCTTAGGGGAGTTGTGTAAAAAATGTTCAGTGTAGTAAAGCTATCCAGAATAAGAACAATTGTTTACGAGTAATTGTACATTTAGGTTGTCAGGAAGATCCCTCTTTAGCAGTTAATAAATATTCAAGTTTGAATAGATCTGCTTAGAGTCATATTAGTATCTACTTGGCCCATTGTTCATGTGTTTTTCCTTACAGATAAATGTCGGCTTGATGACCATTAAAAAGGGTGGTTTGAAGCCATACCGTGGAAAAACTATTTTCCTAACAACAGACCCTGACGCTACTGCCACAAGTCTGCTCAATCAAGCTGTTAAAAAAATGAAGGACTTTAACAAAGATCTAAAAGATGGACCTTTCCTTCTTCTGTATCCGGATGGCACTGAGGTCATTACTGTCCCTGGAACACAAAGACCATTTACACTTGAGGCTTATAAGGCTGAAGTTGGCAAGCCTTATCAAAGAATCACTGTTTTCATCTGCTTGAAGAGTGACTTTGAAGATGGTAAGCTGCTAATGTTTGTTTTGATTTTGACACACATTCCCTTAGTTTCAACAACTGCTAATTTTGAAATTGTGAAATTATAACATTACGCATAAAGCACGCAAGTCAATAGCATACCTACATTAAAATGGTGAATGGCCTGTATTTGATATAGCAACTTCTAGGGTTCTACAACCCCCCCCCCAAGACACTTCACAACAAAACCAGTCATTCACCCATACACATTCACACACTGCTGGTGATTAGCTACAATGTGGACTAGAGCAGGGCGATATGGCCAAAAATATTTATCACGATATATATTTGAAAATTTGCGATAACGATATAACGACGATATAATTGATGCGAGACAAAATACAACTCCACAACATTACTAGCGCAAAAAGACAACCTTCCATTTATTTTCACTTAAACAAGAAGCTGGTTTTTATGTACATTAAAGCTTTATAAAAATGTAACAGTGCAAATGCAAATTCCTTGCTGAAAGTTTAACCAAAAGGCATTTCCAGTAGAAATGGGCTGACATATCCTGAGCATAACCATGTATAATATCCACTGAAGTTAAAAAGAGGTGCTTTGCAACATTAAACTGCAGTGTGCAGTACGTATTTTTCGGACCATAAGGTGCACGGGATTATAAGGCACATTAAGCGAAACAAAGCAGTCAGATAAATCAAACTTTATTAAACTCATTCTTCTTGCTTCCTCCACTTCTGTACCATTGATTCATTAATGTTGAATTCTCTGGCAGCTGCTCTATTCCCATGTTGTTGCAGTATATTAATGACTAACCTCGTATTGTGGATGGATTATCTCAGTTGTTCTCCTGACTGAAGTTTGGTCCGTTTACAGCATCCTGCCATGCGATTGCATTTGTCTCTAACCATGAGGAACCTTCACGTTAACTTTTATAAGTGGAAAAGTGTTAGTGTTCGTCCTCCAGCTTCACTGTTTATGTTATGCTAACATAGCTGTGTCGCTAGCGATCACGTAGCACATCATTATATACCAGCTAGCCCAACTTCAGTAACCCTACAAACGTCACTGCTGTTTAGTTTCCTGTCTTCATTTATGTTGGAAGTGATAGCAGAGCTGTACGTTTGATTTTTTTCAGAAATCTCTCAGTCAGAACATGCAATATCATGCTTAGGTAACTAGCGAAACTAGCGAGCTAACTTCCGCTAGCTTCCTGCTAACTTCTAACTCCGTTAAATGTAATAACTTTTGTTTTCATGGATGCCTGGAAGTTAAACTTTATAGTTACACCTGGTAAAGCAGCAATGCTGATCGTTTTATTAAAGATGAAAGAATTTAGACAGTTTTTAACTCTAAGTGATGCTGCAGTGTTGTTTGACCTGAAGCATACGGAGTTTAGGACCCAGATTACTCCCAGATTTAAGAGCATCTTAGTCCGACAAATACGACAATAACGACGGCCGCTTGCATGTTCTGCAAAAAAATGTGCTTTGTTGTGTATCTGACGGACAAACACCAAACCAGTTCCACATCACTGAAGTTGCACCATTTTTACAAACCAATTCTGGTTCATCTGTTTCACTCAACAATCGGCCATGTGCGTATGAAAACAAAGGCACTGCGCATGCGCGTTTTACTCCCATTCTATCGCGATATTTCATTTTCCTATCGTTGCCTAACATTATACCGGTATTACCGTGAACGGTATAATATGGCCCAGCCCTAATGTGGACACAACTGTCCTGGGACTCACTGACTGAAGCAAGGCTGCTGTACACAGATGCCACCTATCCCTCCCACTACCACCACCTGGCATGGAGGGTGAAGTGTCTTGCCCAAGGACACAACGACTGCGACAGACTGAGCAGGGCTCAAACCTTCAACCTTTTGATTACAGGGTGGGCTTTTAACTCCTCTGCCACCATTGCTGCCTAAATTAGCTTGTATATGTTATGTTTCTTCCTGGAAACATGAAATTCAGCCATTTTTGGATCTACTGAGTCATGATTTTTAAATGCTAACTTTATTTGTTTCAGCCATGGGAACTTCAACATGAAAGCAGTCCTTTACAGAAAGCGGCAGAATATGAGTAAGTGATATTTTAAGAACATGTAATCTTTTACTGTTTTTTGCCTAAACTTTTGTATTAATGAGATATACACTTTTGTCAAGGTTCAAGGTTCTTTATTTGTCACATGCATAGTTATACAAGTATAACACACTCATTCATTCTGTATATGGTTTTTGGAACATGGACTACATAATACTTGTATTGCTTGTTTGTTAATCAAGATGCTTAAATATTTTCAAAGTGTCAATTAATATTTTCACAGTACACAACAATAATGCTTTTCTTTGTTCTCTAAGGAAGGGTGCTGGGGATCTTGTGCTTGCTAATGAAGTACAACAGGTAAAAAACTATTTTATTAGTAAAACAGTGCAGCAGACAATCTCCACCGCCTTTACTTTGCAATTAGATGACGATTCACTGTTTGCTTATTACATTCATTGTTATTATACAATGCATTTCACATCATCAATTTTCATACTATCAATAGATTATAACATCCACCCCTTAAAGGTACACTAAGTGAAATAATCACAAAGCAGTCTAATGTCTCAATCATGTTGGAAGGAAGGTTACATTGAAACTAACTGTGTATGACTCGTCTTTGTCATCTAGAATCTTCTGGCGCTGATCCGTAGCCATGAAACTCATGGAACGGGAGGAGGGAGAGTCACTCGTTTGTTTATAAAGATAGACTGCAGTACACAAATTTGACCACAGGATTTCTTCTTATTTCATTCTTACTTACTGTACCTTTAGATAATCTATTGGGATAGGAAACCTAAGGTACATCCATCTACTTCCGGACCATGGGTCCCCTACTGCTAAAAAAATAGGAGTCTATGAGCCAATAAAAATTATTTTCTGATCCCGTTTGATGTGTATAATGGATTTAAAATATGATGTCCGTGAAGTATATAAACACATTTTGATGCCAAAAAATGCTTAAGCGACAGGTGGCAAAGGTTATTTTATGTTTTGTTTGAAAAGACGTGGCGAAATGTAAATGTTCGTCTCACAAAATTGACATCATCGAACCAGACACAGAGAAGAGGACAAGCTTAGTTTTGTTTAGCGAGCTTCGAATCCTTCTTCCAGGATGATGTGGAGAAAACCACTATAAATCTGGTCATGTGATAATTAGCAGCTACGCTGGGGGAGAAAAGCTTCTGAGGCGACATCATATTTGCGACATCTGACTTGTAGTCATTTTAATGACGAATTTTTACAAGCTAACAAATCTCAAATTACATTACAGACATAGTCGAAACACAATTATTTATTATTTAAATTGAAGTACAACATATGTGTGATTCAGAGAGTAAGGCAAAGCAGACCAGAAAATAACTTTTATAGCTCCATTCACTTCCATTCATTTTTCTTTTGTTCAGGGACCCACGAGCAGACCAGAAGGGGAGGAGACTTAGGCTCCCTATATTAAAATAATTATCAATTGGTCAAATATGAATTTTCATTCATCCTCATTTCGGTATTTCCAGGTCATAGATCCTCACTCTTTT